AAGAAAGGCAATGCCAAAGAATGCTCAAACACACAATTGCACTCATCTCACACGTTAATAAAGTAATGCTTAAAATTCTCCAAGCCAGGCTTCAGCAATATGTGAACCATGAACTTCCAGATGTTCAAGCTGGTTTTAGAAAAGGCAGAGGAGCCAGAGATCAAATTGCCAACATCTGCTGGATCATCAAAACAGCAAGAGAGTTCCAGAAAAACATCTATTTCTGCTTTCTTGACTATGCCAAAGCCTTTGACTGTGTGGATCACAATAAACTATGGAAAATTCTGAAAGAGATGGGAATACCAGACCAGCTGACCTGCTTCTTGAGAAACCTGTATGCAGGTCAGAAAGCAATGTTAGAACTGGACATGGAACAACAGACTGGTNTGAACTGTGGTGTTGGAGAAGACTCTTGAGAGTCCCTTGGAATGCAAGGAGATCCAACCAGTCCATCCTAAAGGAGATCAGTCCTGGGTGTTCATTGGAAGGACTGATGTTGAAGCTGAAACTCCAATATTTTGGCCACCTGATGGGAAGAGCTGACTCATTTGAAAAGACCTTGATTCTGGGAAAGATTGAGGGCAGGACGAGAAGGGGACGACAGAGGATGAGATGGTTGGATGGCATCACTGACTCAATGGACATGGGTTTGGGTGGACTCCAGGAGTTGGTGATGGACAGGGAGGCCTGGCGTGCTGCGGTTCATGGGGTTGCAAAGAGTCAGACACGACTGAGCAACTGAACTGAACTGAAAACAAAATCTGCTATAAGATTCAAATCATATGTTATAAGATTCAAAAAACAACCTAAGTCTTAAAACATAATATTAAAAATGTCTAGGATACAATCCAGATTTATTCACCATAACAAAAAACCAGGGAAATATCAATAGCAATGCTGGGATGCCACAGATATTGAAATTATTTGACCAAGACTTTAAAGCAGTTATCATATTTTCCTACAAGTAAGACAGAACAAACATTCTTGAAAAATATAAAAAGCCTCAGCAATGAAACAGAAGGCATAAAGAAGAATCAAGTGGAAATGTTAGAAGTGAAAAAATTCAACAACTAAAATAAAAAATCATTGGCTGGGCTCAGTAACATGATGGAGATGACACAGGATTCAGTAATTTTATAAGCAGATCAACAGAAGTGAATAATTGACAGAGAAAATATCAGAAAAGAAAATGATTAGAACTATAGGGATATGTAGGACAGTAACAAAAGGTTTAACCTTTATATCATTGAAGTCCCATTAGGAGATGAGAAAAATGTACAGTAGAAAATCTTTGAAGAAATAGCTGAAAGGCTCATTTGCTATTAGAAGGCAATCAATGTAATACATTATATTAGCAGTTTAAAGAAAAGAAACAACTCAATCATATCAATTGATGTAGAAAATGCATTTGGAAAAAAAAAAACTGTTCATAATGAAACTCTCAGCAAACTAGGAACAGAAAGGTATTTTCTTCACCTGACAAAGAACATCAACCAAACCCACTCTGCATAATGGTGAAAGATGGAAAGCTTTCTCCCTAAGATCAAGAACAGGGCAAGGATGTTCCCTTTCATCACTCTTATTCAACATTTTACTGGAGGTTTTAGCTAGTGCAATACATAGGAATAAGTGAAGAATAAGTCAAGAAAAATAAATAAAAGGCATACATTGGAAAGGAAACAACATAATTGCAGAAATAGAAACTTTTAAGGAATAGACATACATACACACTTGAACAAATAACTGAATGTAGTGTAACTGTAGGATATAAGAACAGCATGCAAAAATCAATTATATTTTTACATACTAGCAATGAACAATTAGAAAATGAACTTAAACCGTATATAGAAGTTCAATCCCTCCCCAAAGATGTATCTTACAAAATATGTGTAGGATCTGATATGCTAAAAACTATAAACTTCATGAAATAACTCAAACAAGCCCTAAATAAATGGGAAATATGACTGCAACGTCTTCATGGATTTGAAGACATAACATAGTTGGCAATGATTTATAGATTTACCATAATTCCAATAAAAATTTCAGCAGGAAATTTTATAGATAGAGGTAACCTAATCCTCAAGTTTATAGGGAAAGGCAAAAATACAGGCTACTTGAAACACTTTTGAAAAAGAAGAACAAAGCTGAAAGAATCATGCTGATTTTAAGATTTGCTACAAAGCTATAGTAATTAAGACAGTATAGCATTGGCAAAAGAATGGACATATTGATCAATAAAACTAAATTGACATCAGTAGTCTCCTATAGACACACTTAGTTTGTTTGTGACAACTATGTAAATGCAATTCAAAGGAGGAAGGATAATCTTCAAAAAATGGTTTGAACAACTGGTCATCTATACGCATAAAAATGAAGCTTGCTCTAAATCTCCCATGTTATATAAAAGTCAGCCCCAAATGAGTCAGACATCACAACTTTTGAGTTGACACAGGAGAAAATCTTCATGACCTGGTTATGCAAAGGTTCTTAGATGTGTCACTCAAAGCATAATCCATAAAAGAAAAAAATGATAAATTGGATTCCAGCAAAATTAAAAACTTCTACTCTGCCAAGAGCACTGTTAAGAGAGTGAAAAGTCAAGCACAGGCTGGGAGAAAATATTTACAAATCACGTATCTGACAAAGGATTTATGCCCAGAATATATAATGAACTTTCAAAACTCAGCTGTAAAAAAACAGCAACCTAATTTTGCTGAGGAATTGGGAAAAGTCTTGAACAGACATTTCACCAGGGAGAATAATACACCAATGGAAAATAACATGAAAACAATTCAGCATCAGTAGTCACTAGGGAAATGAAAACTAAAATAATGAGGAAATGACATTCTAAACCTATAATGGCTAAAATTTTTTTTAAAAGCCAATTGTGGTGAGGATGTAGAGTAGCTAGAACTTCCACATGTTTCTGGTAGAACACTAAGTGGTACCGCACTCTGGAAAACAGTTTGGCAATTTCTTTTAAACATACACTTACCATTTGAAATAGCAATCCCTCCGTGGTGTTTACCCTAGAAAAATTAAAACTGTTCACAAAACCCCTGTCCTGAAATGTATCGCAGTTCTAGTCATAACAGCAAAAAACTGGAGACAACTGAATGCCTCCCACAGTTGAGTGGCTAAACAGTCCATGGTCCATCTCTACAATGGGTATCACTCAGCAAAGCAAAGGAACAATCTATAGACAAGCACATCAGCTCAGATGAATCTCAGAATAGTGATGAGTGAAAAGAATCTCATTTGAAAAGGTTAGGTTCTTCATATATGTATATGATGTATATGACTTTGTATATGTATATAATGTATATGACTCCATGTATATGACATTCTCGAAAGAGACAAAACCAAAGTGATAAAAAATGCAACGGGGGTTGCCAGTGGCCAGGGCTGGGGAAGGCATGGCCGTAAGAGAGCAGGAGGGGTTCTTGGAAGTGATAAGATGGTTCTGTGCTCTGAGAGAGGTAGTAATAACATAAATCTACACACGTGTTCAAATTCTTAGAACTCTACACAAAAAGTTATTTTCTTGCATTTTCCCTTAAAAAATAAAACTAAAGAAAAAAAGCTAAAAGCTCTTGCTTCTAGTTGACCAACCACATATCAATGGTACCAACCACATATCAATGGCAAGGTCAGCACTAACTCCAAAGAGGGCAACAGCAGACAAGACCTTCATCTGTTACTGTTTGAGCATCTCTAAATGATGGTCACCCCACCCACCAAGCATTTACATCGCAACTTCTAATATTCACGATCGCCCTAGAAGGTGGGTTAGGCTCAATGTATAGACAAAAACTGAGGCTTAAGGGAAATAAAATAATCTTCCCTACATCTTGTAGCCAGTAAATGTTGAGTCTGGACTTATCCCAGTCCTTGTTGCCAACCTCATTGTAAACCTACTTCCCTACATGACTGCTCACTAAAATTAAGAAAAGCAGTGAAAAGCTATCAGGGAAACACTAGAATAGCACTTTGATTCACATACATCACATATATTCTCTAAGCATATTTCATCCTAAACTCCAAGAATGTTTGAAACTCTGGGAGGTTCAGGGAAATTTAAAATCGACTCCCATTTTATCAAAGTCCTCCAATAGAGAGGTCTTAATTTTCAACAGGCTAGAGTAGTTACCTCCAACCATTCGAATGTACAGTGAGTCATATCTTTCCCTAAGTGAATGAAGGAATCATTGTGACTTACACTATTTGACCAAGTATTTGATAATTTCACAAGGAGGAATTTATATATTTGGAGCAAAGAGTAATTGTTTAAAACTCCTCTTTCACACACATGACTCTCCTGAGAAGCTGTAATTGGTTCTTCCCACTTATTTTTACTCCACCACACACAAAAAAAATTGTAAAAATACACAAAATAAATCCATTTTAGAGACTGAAACTAAATATTACTTTTATTTCATTATAGTTATAGCTGAATAAATATCCCAAAACATTCTAAATATAGACTAAGCACATTTTTCATGTAGTGAATGATATCCACTCTAAAAGCTTGAGGATGAATTTTCCTTCTTGCTTGTGAATTATTTTCAACTATTTTGTTGGCTATTAGGTGTTTTTTTCACCAAAAACCTTGGCCTGAAATATTTTTGTCTCAGCTAAGACACAGATAAGAAGCTAAGGTCTTCAATAAAAGTGTTTCTCTTTAATGGTTTCTAATATCTGCTTTACTGAATATATTTTCTTTAAAAAACAGACATTGACAGATTTTGACTCAATATCTAGAAGATTTAATGCAAAGTAAAACCTAGTGAATGCCTTTTACTATAGAGAGTTGAGTGATCTATTCAATTCCCCAAAGAAAGTTAAGAGTAACAAAAGGAATTCCATCATCCACACCCTCTTTGACTTTTTAAGGAGTCCACGTACCACCCTCGTCAGGTAAGAGAAAACTTATCTTCTGTCACTGAGTTGGGGGCAGTTATGGCCAACAGGGTGGTTTGGGGGACCTGGAGGAGGCCTACCTTCCAGCAGGTCTCTGGCCAGACCAGGTTCTGCCCCCGTGGACCGAACAAAGTCTGACAGGACTGCGTCCATATCAAGAGTCATAGGATCGTGTAGGAGGGCCGCCCAACACTCAGCCGAGGTGGGGTTTGGAAGCAGGCTAGAAACCATCCATCTGCAGGAGAGAACAGAGAGACAAACGTGATGGAAAGAAGAAATCAGTTCCACTTGGTGTGACACATATTTGAGCCAGTGTGGGACAATGCCTGATTATTTGTGTGCAACAGTAAATAATAAAAGTCACATTCAAATGTCATTCCCTTTGTAGGTGCCATAGGAGAGAGGGGCCATTCCCAACTCAGTCTTCCTACCCTGAGTGCATGTTTAGTTGCTCGGTCATGTCCAATTCTTTGAGAACCCATGGACTGTGGCCCACTAGGCTCCTCTGTCCATGGGATTTCCCAGGCAATAATACTGGATTGGGTTGCCTTTTCCTACTCCAGGGGAATCTTCTCAACTCAGGGGTCAAACCCACATCTCCTGTATCTCCTGCATTGGCAGGCAGATTCTTTACCTCTGAGCTGTTGGTGAAGCCCACTTCCCATCTTAGATTATGTCAATTTCAGTGATAACCAATAGAAAAGAAGATAGACTTGATTGTTCTAAAATAATCAAACACTTAATGAATCTTAGAGAGATTCATTTAGAGCTGCTAACACTTGCACAAATGTAATTGTGTTGCTGCTGTATCCTACCTACACCTTAAACAGTGACCCATCTCCATGCCAACCTCAGTCCTCACCTGGCTCTTAGGAAATATTCCACATCAATCCCGAGTTGACAGAAATACTATGCTTGCTGAAGAGGACAAATCTTTTGCCATTTTTCTAAGAGTTGTCATACTCACAAGATCAATCAATAAAATTCGTAAAGATTTCAGATTTCCTAATAGAATAATCCCAGTTAGAGGAATAAAATGTCACCCTGTAGCTTGATCACAGGCTAACTGCACCAGGCAGTTGCTAGGGAGAAACAAACAGCACACGGCATGTGAGGGTGACTCCCACCAGTAAACTGGTAACATGGTCATGCCTGATAAAGCACGAATGCACCCTCTGTCTTCATTAAGAAGGGGTTGGCAAATTACAGTCCACTACTTTGTGAATAACGTTTTATTGGAACCAGTCCTGTCCACTCCCTGTCGTACTATCTCTGGTCATTTTTGCATGTGGCTGAGTCAAGCAGTGAAAACAGAAACTGTAAGATTCACGGAACCAAACATATTTACTATCTGGACCTTCACAGAAAGTTTGCTAAGTATAAATGATGGAAAATATCATCCTAGTGAGCATCTAATTAATTTTGCAAGCCATGGGGGTGAGTTTAAACCCCATGCCACTGATGAGAATCCCCCATTTCTGTTTCACTTGGATGGGCTCTGCTCGAGTGCTAGGTCTGTGCCGACTGCTGCTGCTTTAGAGCCAGAACTGCTGGCCTAATCCCAACCCCAGCTCTGCCCCTCTGATGAGAGGTGACGCACTGTGTTACCTCTCTGAGTCCACCTGAGCATCTGTAAGACTTGGGGAAGTAAGTTCATTGAAGGTGCCAGGCCCTGAGGATGGAGGAACAAGGCAGTGGCGTCTGTGACATCAGACTACTCACTGTCCCTACACCAGCTTGCACATGGCTCTGATCTATTTAAGAGTGCATTTCAGTGACATTAAATATACTCTACATTATTATGCACCCATCATCAACACCATCATCTCCGGGACTTTTTCATGTTCTCCAATGGAAACTCTGCCCCATTAAACGTTAACTCCCTCCCCTCTCCCCCAGCCCCTGGAAACCATCGCTCTACTTTGTTTCTAAATTTGACAGTTCCAGGAGCTTCTTATCAACAAATCACATAATATTTGTCCCCCGTTGACTGGTTTATTTTGCTCAGCATGGTGCCTTCCAAGGTGCATGTGTGTTGTAGCAAGTGTTGGGATTTACTTTCATTTTAAGGCTCATCTTAGTTGGGGATGCTGTCACAAAATGCCACAGATTGGATGGCTCAAACAAAGGACATAGGTTTCTCATAGTTCTGGAGGCTGGCAAGTCTGAGATCAAGGTGCTGGCAGATCTGGCATCTGGTGAGAGCCCATATTCTGGTTGCAGATGCCACCTTCTCCCTGGGTCCTCATGTGGCAAGGACACAAATAGCATCATGGGGACTCCATCCTCACAATCTCATCTAAACCCAATTACCTCCCGCTGGTTCCACCTCCTAATACCATCACATTGGGGGGTTAGGGCTTCAACACATGAATTTTGGGAGGATATACCATGTGGCCACAACAAGGCTGAATAGCATTCCACTGCATGGAGAGACCACACCTTGTGTAGCCATTCATCCATGGCTAGACACTTAGTTGTGTCCACCTTTTGGCCACTGTGTGTAACTCAGCTTACATCCTTTCTACACTGACACCAGGTCCCTGTGCTGAGACTGGCACTGGCTCTCACCAGCGCTGTGATAAGATTCATGCCACACCTTCCCCTCTGTGCCTTGTCCTCTGCACAGACAGAAACTAAAGGGTGGACTTCAAAAGAGCTTTTCGCCACATTCAAGTATAAACATTGGTGCAGCAAGAAGTTAATGTGCATGTCCCCTTGAAGACTTCTTTCTTTTATTAAAAAATTATCATTTATTTATTTTTGGCTATGCTAGGTCTTTGCTATTGGATGTGGGCTTTCTCTAGCTGCAGCGAGTGGGGGCTATTCTCTAGTGGCAATGCATTAAGTGTCTCCTGGTAGTGTCTTCTCTTGTTGTAGAGCATATGCTCTAGGGCAAGTAGGCTTCAGAAATTGCAGCATGGCCTTGGAATCTTCCTTGACCAAGGACTGAACCCATGTCCCCTGCATTAACAGGCAGATTCTAAACCACTGGACTATCAGGGAAATCTAAGACTTATTTCTTAAATCTAATGCCCCCACCACACTGAGGCCCCACATTCAAGCACTGTGAAGACACAGGAGCAGCCAGGCCAATGGGGACATGGCTCTCAGCCATTTTGGCCATCCTCACCCCTGCCCCCTCATGCCAGTCCTCCAAAGAGCACTGCTGGGCCCCATGACCCACCCTTCATGGCCAAGGCACCCTTCGCCTGTCCTAACCCCGTGAGGACCAGGGAGGCCATGTCCAGGCTTTGCATCTTGGCCCCTGGATGGAACTTCTCTGAGGGTCTTGCCTACTGTCCTGGGGACAGGGGCATGTCAAGCTCTTTCCACTGTGGCTTTGTCTTAGGAGAGGCAGTGCAGTCCAGGGATGAGGCTTGGCCCTGGAATCAGTCTCTCTCAGTACCAAAATAGCCCCATCACCACTCCTGTGAGGCCTCAGGTATACTGTTTCAGTTTCCTCATTGGTGGATCAGGATCATAACAGTACCCCTTAGCTGGTCTACAGTCTGAAGTAGTGCGTGGAACACACTGGCCCACAGGGCATGCTCAGTAAGTGTGAGCTATTATCCAGCCTGTGATGATGAGGACCACCCTCGCCTGCCCAGGCCTCCACTGAGGAGCAGAACTGCCGCCTCTGGAAGCACTGCAGAGCTAGCTTGGATGGCAGAAGGGGTTCATGCTGCCCTCAGCCAGTTCTGCTGGACATACCAGAAAGTTTGCTAATTGATTACATGTAGGTGTGCACCCAGACAGGTGGGTGCCTGTTTCCAAGAGCAACAGAGGCACCAAGTGCCCCCCATCCCACCCCCTATCACTCTCAGACACAGGTGGGATGACCAACACCCTCTTTCCTAGCTGTCCCTGAGTCCAGATGGATACAAAGGCCTGAAAATGCACAGTAGGACCCTGGGGAGAACCCGGGAGGGGGTTCAAGGTGACCATCCAAGCCCATCCCTGGGCTCTGTCTGCTCCCTGCAACACACAGGGCTTTGGCCAGAATATTCTGTTTCTGGCCAATCATTGCCCATGTTCTAAGGACCAGGCACCTGGCTAGGCATTTTCTTAAAACCATGTTGGGGGACATGCTCTTTATCCTTAATAGGTATTTTTAAAAAATAATGTATATGCTAATTTTAAAAATGTTATACATTTCAACATATGATTTATTTATTTATTTTTAATTTATTTATTTTTTTATTAGTTGGAGGCTAATTACTTTACAATATTGTAGTGGTTTTTGTCATACATTGACATGAATCAGTGAAACTGGAGCCCATTATACAGAGTGAAGTAAGCCAGAGAGATAAAAACCATTACAGTATACTAACACATATATATGGAATTTAGAAAGATGGTAACGATAACCCTATATGCAAAACAGAAAAAGAGACACAAATGTATAGAACAGACTTTTGGATTTATTTCTTTTTAATGAAGTATATATTTAATTTACAATATTGTGTTAGTTTCAGGTGTATAGTGAAGTGATTCAGATATATATACATATATTCTTTTTCAGATTTTTTTCCTTTATAGGTTATTACAAGATATTGAGTACAGTTCCCTGTGCTACACAGTAGGTCCTTGTTATCTATTGAGTAGGTATTTGCATGAGTCCTCTCTGTGTGTGAGGTGATGGAGGTTTGAGAAGGGAGAGCCAGGCAGCGCTGTTGAGATGTACCCTGGTCTTTCCCTTGGGACGAGAGCTGTCCCCGGCCCTTGACCTTCTCCTCCACAGGCAGACAGACCGGACTGACAGCTCTCCTGCTGGGAGCCTCTCAAGGGTCACTTGGAAGCCCAGAGTACAGAGGTCCTTCCCATGTCCTTCTCTTTGGGCTCCTGCAGCCTGGCCTAGCCCCTCACAGCCCCTGGCTCCTTCCTTCCCTCCCTCCCAGGCCCCTGACTCCCCAAGGTCACAGTCCTGAGAGGGTGTTCTGCATGCTCACAGGTGCTCTGGACTGTCTGCCACATACAGGGTGTCTCTTGTGTGGCTCCCCTCAGTATCCTGCTGACCCCTGATCAACCCCAGCCATGCCGGGTCCCAGCAGTGCTGCCTGAACCCCTGTGACAGCGTAAACTCTGTCACGCTACATATGCAGGGACCCCAACCAGAAAAGACAGAAGAAATTGCCACAGAAGAGGTCCTCTTGACACAGATTTCTCAGGCTCTCCCATGCACGTGCACACACACACACACACACACACACACAGGACTGTGGGTGTCACATGTGGAGGCTGGAGGCCTGGCTCATCCACAAACTATTCCATGCTTTGGGAAATATGGCTAAAACTGTACTCTCCTCCCATTTTATTACATATTAGTCTTTTGTTTCTTATTAAATCAGCAAGTTGATGTCAAGTTTTAATTAAATGATAAGCTCCTAAGGTTTATATAACCAATTAAAACAAAGGACGGCCCAGCTTCCTAGAAAGCACTCCAAGCATTTGTCTCTTTGCTTGGGTAAGTTAGTTTCATTACATACAAGAATGTGGGCCCGTTTTGGATTTCACCCTGAGAACTCCCAAGGTTTTGAACAAACAAATGCACAACACCAAGAGTGAACACTAATGGACGTTATAGACTTTGGGTGATAAGGATGTGCCAGTGTCAGTTCATCGACTGTAACACACGTATTGCCTTGGTGTGGGATGCTGAGAGTGGTGGAGGCCATGTGTGTGGGGACAGGAGTTATATGGTAACAGTCCATACCTTCTGCTCAGCTTTGCTGTATACTTAAAACTGCTCTAAAAATTATCTATTAAAGGGTTTTATTTTTCACATTGAAAGCACTGATGTAGTTGGACTTGATCTTGGTGTATCAAGTGAGGCATGGATTAAATTTTAGCATTTTTCCTGTCTATACAGCTATTTCAATACAACTTAAGAGCAAAACCCATCAGTGGGGAAGCCCTTTTAATCTCAGATGCTTTCATTGCTATATGGTATGTTTGCATATGCAATTGCATCTATTTCTGTATTTTTCTGTTTAAATTATGCCTTGGCTATTGTTTAGTCGCTAAGTCATGTCCAACTCTTTTGTGATCCCAAGGACTATAGCCCACCAGGCACCTCTGTTCATGGGATTTCCCAGGCAAGTTACTAGAGTGGGTTGCCATTACTTTCTCTAGGGATCTTCTCAACCCAGGGATCGAATTCATATCTCCTGCATAGGCCGGTGGGTTCTTTACCACTGAGCCACCAAGGAAACCCTTATTTATGCCTAGGTATCCATAAAAGGTATCTTTTCTCCCAATATGTGTGTTAACTGGTTATCATATTTCTAAACAAAACTATTTAGTTCTGGCTGCTAAATTTATATCCTGATCTTTTACTAAATTCTTAATTAGTGCTTGTAGAAATTTATCCATTGGGTCTTTTCCCCCTTACTTTTTGTTTTGCTAGATATACAATCACATCCTATGCAAACAGAGATTGTGTTACTCTGAATTTTCAGTTTTTAAGCCTCCTTCTTCTCTTGCCTGACTGAACTAATTCAATATACTATTAACTATTCATAGAGGTAATGGGCATTTTTGCTTTTCTCCTAACTTTAGTAGAATTGCCACACTGAGTAAGATGCTGGCTACTAGCTTTTGGGCTATACACATATGTGTACATATGTTTAGAAAGTACCCATATACCTTATTGGAGAAGGAAATGGCAACCCCCTC